GTGGTGGCCAGACCCCCTCAGGGGCCCTGCCTGCCCATGGGATGACCTATTTGTCATGGGAGGGCCTGCTCTCCCCGCGCCCAGGCTTGCTGGCTGTCCTTGCCGGGATGACCCTCTGAGGTCCAGGCCTGGGTCCCTTCTGCAGGACAGGGGTGTAGGGGAGGTACCTTGAGGCTACATCTGCAGGCCCCACAGTCCCTGAGGAGCAGGCAGTGCTGTGGGGCCGGAGAGGGGAGAGAGTACTGGGTGGTTTCTCGTGTTTTCCAGGCCACTGACCTTGGCCCTACAGGTCCCAGCTCCAAATCTCAAAAATAGGAGTGAGGTGGTGAGGGCAGCCAGGAGGGAATTACAGGCTGGTGGTCGGGCAGGAAGCTTGACCCTAGGCTGCAGTGATCAGCAGAGGGCACCCGGAGCCCCCGGGGGAAGAAAGCCCCAGAGCGACCCCCTGTGGCTGCACCACGCATGTGCCTCCCCAACTGTCATCCCCAGGCAGGCAGGACCCGTGTCCAGGTTTTGCTGCTGGCCATCTGTGTGTCCCGGGGCAGGCCCCTGACCTCTCGGGCCTGCCAGGGGCCAATTGACACCTCTTTGCCACCTTTCTCTCCAGGCTGGGGCTGGGGGAGGCTCAGCTGAGCTACAAGCGGGGCAAGGGGTTCAGCTAATGATGGGCGTAATCCGAGCAACCATCCCATCAACATAGCTCCCGCCGTTGAGTCGTTACTGGGAGCCGGGCCCTCCCAAGCACTTCAGGTTAATGGAAAGGACAAGACTCCCCACCTCTTTGTCTGAATATGAAACCGGGCAGAGTCCCGGCGGGTTTTATTTTTACCTCCAGGGGCGTGGGGGAAGAGGGAAGTCCCAGTGATGTTCTTCTGGCTTCACAAAGAAAGCTCACAAGTAGCTCTACCTTTGAGGAAAGTGAGAAGTCCGTGGAAACATTCATAGCGCATGGCAGCAGATGGGAAGCAGGACAAGCAGCCGGAAGCTACAGACGCTTTCGGGACGAAAGGTGACCTCGGAGGAGGTGGGAATCCTGGCAGACGCCCTTGTCAGAAGCAGGGTGCGTCCTTTCATACAGGGAAAATCTGCTTCCCTTTCCAGCTTCTAGAAGCTGCCTGCTTTCCTTGGCTATCTCCATCTTCAGAGCCAGCAAGTTGGCATCTTCCAATCTCTCTCTGACTCTAGTATTCCTGCCTCCCCCTTTCACTTATGATTACATTTTTTTTTTAAAGATCTTTATTATTTATTTGACAGAGAGTGCACAAGCAGAGGGAGTGAGAGGGAGAAGCAGGCTCCCCACAGAGCAAGGAGCCCGATGTGGGACTCGATCCCAGGACCCTCGGATCATGACCCGGGCCGAAGGCAGCCGCTTAACCAACTGAGCCACCCAGGCGTCCCTATGATTACATTTTTGATGATGATTATGATTACATTTTGATGATTCCCTTTTGATTATATCGGGCCCTGAATATTCCTGGATATTCCAAGATCAGCTTCCTGTTTCAAGATTCTTTTAATCAGAGCTGCAAAGTCCCTTCACCATGTCAGGTCACATAGATTCTCAAGTTCCGGGGATGGGAATGTGGGTCTTTTTTTTTTTAATAATTTTTTATTCTTATGTTAACCATCATACATTACATCATTAGTTTTTGATGTAGTGTTCCATGATTCATTGTTTGTGCATAACACCCAGTGCTCCACGCAGAATGTGCCCTCTTTAATACCCATCACCAGGCTAACCCATCCCCCCACCCCCCTCCCCTCTAGAACCCTCAGTTTGTTTTTCAGAGTCCATCGTCTCTAATGGTTCGTCTCCCCCTCCGACTTACTCCCCTTCATTCTTCCCCTCCTGCTATCTTCTTCTTCTTCTTCTTTTTTTCTTAACATATATTGCATTATTTGTTTCAGAAGTACAGATCCGTGATTCATCAGTCTTGTACAATTCACAGTGCTCACCATAGCACATACCCTCCCCAATGTCTATCACCCAGCCACCCTATGCCTCCCACCCCCCACCACTCCAGCAACCCTCAGTTTGTTTCCTGAGATTAAGAATTCCTCATATCAGTGAGGTCATATGATACATGTCTTTCTCTGACTGACTTATTTCACTCAGCATAACACCCTCCAGTTCCATCCACGTCGTTGCAAATGGCAAGATCTCATTCCTTTTGATGGCTGCATAATATTCCATTGTGTATATATACCACATCTTCTTTATCCATTCATCTGTCGATGGACATCTTGGCTCTTTCCACAGTTTGGCTATTGTGGACATTGCTGCTATAAACATTGGGGTGCATGTACCCCTTCGGATCCCTACATTTGTATCTTTGGGGTAAATACCCAGTAGTGCAATTGCTGGATCGTAGGGTAGCTCTATTTTCAACTGTTTGAGGAACCTCCATACTGTTTTCCAGAGTGGTTGCACCAGCTTGCATTCCCACCAACAGTGTAGGAGGGTTCCCCTTTCTGGGGTGTGGGTCTTTTTATTCTGCTGACCTCAGTGGCCTTGGCCAAGGGGTCCGACATTTGGGGTCCAATGCTCAGGAGGGTTGGAGGGGATACAAATAAAGAAGAATGGGCTTCCATCCCACAGGGAGTGACTGAGCCTCCCCCTCCCACCCAGGGCCCCTCATGTGCTGGAGGCCGGCTACTCAGCGTGGAACTAAGGATCAATCAGAACTCCGTTGCTTCTGGGAGTTCTGGGATGGGAGATGGTGGCCAGGACCCACGATCAGATGGATCAGGATTCAATTTCAGACTGTGCCTCTTCCCAACGGCCTGAGGGTGGGGGTGGGGGTGGGGAGCACGCTGGTCTGGGAAGGGAAGAAACAAACAGATCTCATTTCATCCTCACCAAGGTGGAGCATCTGCCTCTGTTTTGCAGATGTGGAAACCACAGCTCAGAGAGATCAAGCACCTTGTCTGAGATCACACAGCTCCCGTGAGCTTTCCCACGGACCCGAATTCCCAAACCAGTGATGCCCACGCTGCTCCTTGGCTGTTTGCCCCATCTGCCTGCCTCCTGGCCTGCAGCTGGCTTGATATTTTTCTTTGAACCAACTTGCTTTTTTATTTAAATGCATCTGTTTTAAAAAAGAGACTTTATATTACTCTCATAAATGGAAAAATCACAAAATTCATGGGCTAGTTATGTATATTTTTATAATGCACATTAAAATGAATTTATCACCATAAAAATGAAAAGTGTTCTTCCATATACCATGTTAAATGGCCTCACATACCAGCAGTGGGTTCCGGCACTCGCTCTGGGAATTGGCTCTACACCTGCTCCAGTTTCACCAAACATAATGTTATGCATGGCTCTAATTTATTATGGTATTGAATCTTCAAGTGGTTTCCCAGCACCATTACATCCAGACTCTCCAGCATGGCCTCAGGGCCCTTCTGGCTCCTGCATTCCTCATTTCCTGCCACTCTGGTCCTGCTGCTTTTGGGCAAAGCAGGACTTTTGTCACTGTGTTGGCTCCCTGGCCAGCAGGTGCCAAGATTTGAACCCTGACTGTGAGCATTAGAGCCCACACGTGGGACCAGGACTCTGTACCACCTTTCTCTGATGTCTGATCTCTGCAAGGCCTGTGATGCAAATAAAAAGGCTGGAAAGTGAGGTGGGGGAAGGGATGGGCAGGGTCGCCCAGGCACCCAAGCTTGCAGAGCCCCCCTTGGTCTCATAGGCAAACAGAGAAAGGTTTGATCAAGTCCGCCAGCTGAGTGTTGTGGGTCCAATAGCACAATCCCTGCCCAGGGGGAGGAGCATAGAGACCTTTTATAATCTCTCCTGGGGCAGAAATGACGAGCAGCCGTAGTGGCCAATCCTGACATCATGCGGGGGTGGGACTTCAGGTCCCACGGTGCTCTCCCCCAGAAGCGGTACCTTGCAAGTGAGCTCGGCATCTGGACGGGGCCGACTTCTTGTAGGGATTTCCCAAGTGCCTCATATTTCCTTCCTTTACTGCCATATGGATGATTTATCACCTGAGAAGGGAGCAGAGGTCCCAGTGTAGCTTGATAATAGTCATGCTTTATTAATTCCAACTTTTCCCAAGAGTGAGGGGGGAAAAATCCCTGATTGCATGTGAGTCTCAGGGGGCCTGGAGGCCCCCATAAAGAGACGCTTGACTGAGGGTTTCCCAGATTGCTGTGAGGCATTAAGGAGCCAGGTGTGGGGAGAGCCTAGCCAGGGGCCTGACACACGACTGATGGATTTTCTCAGTAATTATTTTTTTTTTGTCCTGCTTCGGACAGAGCTCAGGAAGAACATGCTTCTCTCTGAGGCTGGGGGTAGAGTGAAGAGAACACCCGCTCCGAGGGGCCACCTCTCAAACCAGTCAGCCTCCATTCAAATCCCAGTTCCTCCACAAGCTAGCTGTGTGACCTTGGACAAATCACTTCCCCTCTCTGGGCCCTGGTCTGTTCATCTAGAAAACAGGGCTAATCATAGTACCTCCCTCAAAGGACTGAGGTGAGGATTACAACAGTCAATCCAGGATCATGCTAAGAACATGTAGGAAATACTACACGAGAGCTATGTGGGCAGCCAGCCAGACCTGGGTTTGAATCCTGCCACTGGCACTAACTACAGTGTGACTTGGGGTGATTGCCTTGACCTCTCTGGACCTCCGTTTCTCTGTCTGGAAATGGCCTTGGTAACGCTGCTTCCAGGAGCAATGGGGAGCAGCTCGTAAGCAGGGTGTGTGTCTGCTCACCCACCAAACTGCTGGGTCCTGAGGTCCCGGCACCTGCCCTCCCCAGGGAAGCCCCCCCCCCCGGGGGGGTGGCAGAGGGCCAGCTGCAGCGCTCTCGAGGCAGGCTGTGGCCCGTCCCCGCTGCCCCGCCCCAGTGGTGACGAGCTGGCCCCTGCCTGTCTGAGGGGCAGGAAGGAAGTGAGGAGGGCAGCCAGCAGCTTCCCCTTTTCTGCCCTGCTCCGGGCGCTGGGCTCCCCACCTCAGTGCCTAGGAGCAGGGGACGGCGGCACCATGGCCCCCCGCGCGCTTGCCACCCGCCAGACCTGCTGCTGCTTTAACGTCCGCATCGCCACCACTGCCCTGGCCATCTACCATGTGGTGAGTGTGCGGGCAGGCGCGGGGAGGCTGTGTGTGCCTGCGTGTGCGTGTGTGCGCGCGCGTGTGTAAGAGAGAGGGCCCTGACCTACGGACGCCCCCCCCGACCGTGGGAGTACCGCCACCCACCGCCTCTCTGTGGGACCCTGGACAGATCCCGTCCCTGCCCTGGGCCTCAGTCTCCCCCTCTGTCAAAGAGCAGGGGGCCTTGCAGCCGCCTCCAGAGGGTAGCAGGGGTGGGAGAAGGGGCCTCGTTCCAAGCGAATGGAACTCACCGTCTCCCCGAGGCTCAGTTTCTGCCTCTGTGAAATGGGACAACATAGCAGTCGCAAGGTTCAAATGGAACGCAGCTGGGAAAGGGCTGTGGAAGGCAGGAATGTGTGCAGAACTGTGGACTGGGACTGTTGCCCGGGTATGGAGTCGGACCTGCTTCTTCCTGTGGGGGGCCTGGGCCGCTGGTGGGGAGGGAGGTGGGGATCTCTCCCCTGTGCTCCTAGCAGGGAGGGAGGGGGCTGGATCCTCTTGTTGATTGCTCGGCACACCACTGCCTTCTCTCCACCAAAGAAAACTTGAGGTCTTGTGCTAATGGGTAGGATGGCTTGCCTGGCCCACGCTCTGGAGAAGGAGTGGCCCCGCAGTTCCCCTTTGGAAGCTGGTGTGCACAGCCCCGGTGTGGAGCCTCTCTGTCTTCTCTGAATGCAGAGTGACTCTGGGTGAGCCACAGCCCCTTGGGACTGGAGGCTCCCCTCTCCATCTCGGTGGGTGAAAGTTGGGGTCTCTGTTCAGTCCTGCCCAGATCATCCCGCCACCGCCCAACTCCGAGCCACACCCAGCTCCCCCAGACCCAGGCACCTTCCTCCTAGGGTGACTCAGGGCCTGTGGTTAACAGTTCTCTCATGAGCCTAGAAGGGCTTCCTCAAAATTAGCCTAAATCTGGCATTCTGTGGTGGGCTGCTGTAAGCTGCTTAAGCCTGGCTGCATCAGCTTCCTGTCGCGGGCAGGGCTGCGGCCAGAACCTGGACGTCCGAGGGGCGGTGCAACTCAGCGGTCAGCGCACAGCCTCTGGATCCACGCCTGTGTGCAAATCCTGGCCTCGCCGCTTCCTAGCTGTGCAGCCTCGGGCCGCTTACCTAACCTCTCTGAAGCCCAGTTTCCTCACCGAAAATAGTACCACCTCTCTGATAGGGCTGCTGAGAGGATCAAGGGAGTTCCCATCTACAAGGCGTATCAGCAGCACCGGTCGCAGAGGACGTGTTGTTATCAGCGTGCATCAGATGCAGCGCCCGCGGCCGTGTAGCCGGACTCAAGCTGTCAGACCCCAGAATGCGGGTTTGGGACGTTGCTCCTGCCAGCGTGAGAGTGACCCTGAGAGATGTGAAGGGCACCTTGGCTGTCCCCACACCAAATCCTTAGGGCCTCTTCAAGCTCTGAGATTGTGGAATGTTCTACGAAGGACAGTGACAGACACGGAGGTGTCCCTTTGGGAAGTGGGCCCCTGGGCCCTGACCCCAGCTCTGCTGCTAACTGCCTGTGTGACCTGGGACAATTTTCTCTTGGGCCTCAGTTTTCCCTTTAGAAAGATGTCGGGTGGGGAGGGGGACTGGTTCAGAGGGTTCAAACTCCCCGCTGTTTGCGGGCCAGAAAGGTCACGGAAGTGAGTGCAGTGGGGCAGATGGTCAGCGCTGACCTGGGGGCCCCGTCCTGGGTCCGTTCTGGAAGCTGGTCTCTGCTTCTGCTGATTGTTTCTACCAAGGAATGTGGGCCCGGGAGCTGCTCTTCTGACATCTAGGGAAGCAGGAAACACAGGCTTTTATGCCGCATTTTCTGATATATTTCCGTATCGGTGACGGATTCAAGGTGAAAAAGAAATCCCTGTGCTGGCCAGACCGGGTCCATATGCAGGCTGCGTGGGCCTGGCCGCTGTCCCGCACACCCCAGACTTTGCGGCTCTTGAGGTTTCTTTTTCTTTCTTTCTTTCTTTTTTTTTTTTTTAAGATTTTATTTATTTATTTGACAGACAGAGACAGGGAGGGAACACAAGCAGGAGGAGTGGGAGAGGGAGAAGCAGGCTTCCCGCGGAGCAGGGAGCCAGACGCGGGGCTGGATCCTAGGACCCTGGGATCATGACCCGAGCCGAAGGCAGACGCTTAACGACTGAGCCACCCAGGCGCCCCGGGGTTTCTTGATCCCACTGTCTGAGGTCCTCACCTGTAGGTGGTGAAGTGATATCAGTGCCTGCCCACAGAGCTGGAGAAAGTGTGGGCAAGTGATGAGGGAAGCCTTCTTGAAGGTGGTGCCCATTGGTGGAGGTGTAGAGTTTGCTTGTGGGGAGTATGGATGGGGAGGAGCGGGTGTGCAAAGGGTAGAGGCTGAGGGACGGTGGCTTGTGTAGGGGACACTACCCAGACCAACCTGGAGGCTTCAGCTTGGGGTGCGGGAGGTGGTAGGTGCTCAGAGAGACAAGCTGAAGAGAGTGGACCTTCGTTGTAGCACACAATTGATATTTGGGGCTGGAGAATTCTTTGTTGTGGGGACTGAACTTCACATTGTAGGATGGTTAGCAGCATCGTTGGCCTCTATCCACAAGATGCCGGTAGCACCCCCGGGTTGTGATAACCCAAAATATCTCCAGATGTTGCCGAATGTCCCCTGGGGACAAAGTCACTCCCAGTTGAGAACCACTGTCTGCAATGTGAACCATGGAGATCCATGGGATGTTCTAGAGCAGAAGGCATGAGAATGGAGGAGAAGCCTGGAAGCTGTATGCCCGGCCCAGGCCCCTCTCTGGGGTCCTTGGTTGGTTGCAATGCGGGGTCATTGTCTGGAGAAGCCTCTGTTCCTTCCCACAAAGGGCAGGGGCTGGGTGGCAGGTGTGCTGGCTGGGTCTCTAACATCTGGATGGAAAAAGAGAAGCTGCTGTCCAGATGTGTCGATGGCCCAGATTGTCATCATCTGGAGCCAGTCATGGATGACAACTGCGCACTGAGAGCTATTCCTGGACTTGGCCTCGGCCTCTCTGGGGAGGGCTAAATTGGGTCTTTGGTGTCCTAAGACAGCGCTACACTTTATTGGTCATCAGGGGCCTTCTTATGGGAGGACCCTTCTGTGTCCAAGGGCTGGAGGGCCTCCCTCAAGGTGCTGCTAGGTTTGTAGAGGGTTTCCTCGGTAATGGGTGATTTCTGACTCAAACTTGCATGTATAGGGGAGTCAGAGAACTTTCTTTCTTTCTTTCTCTTTTTTAAAAAGATTTTTATTTATTTATTTGAGAGAGAGAGCATTCGATTCGGGGAAGAGGCAGAAGGAAAGAGAAGCAGACTCCCAGCTGAGTAGGGAGCCTGACTTGGGGCTTTATCTCAGGACCCCGGGATCATGACCTGAGCTGAAGACAGACGTTTAACTGAGCCACCCAAGTGCCCCCAGAGAACTTTCTTTAAATTGGCCTCTTTGGCCCTGGCTTGTCTGGCAACCCAAAGTACATCCTAAGTCAACTGTGGGGGCGGAATCCCCAGAAGACCTTTTTGCCCAGAAATATCTCCCTCCCTGACTACTCCCCTACTGCCTAGAATTCCATTAGAAATGGATTGCCTAGATGAAAAGCTTACACCTGCTTTAGGCCAAGGAGAGAAGGAGACTGATGCTGGCTGTCTCTGGTTATAGGGTTGTGAAAGCTCTAATTTTTTCTACACTCCTGTATTCTATTTGGTACAATAAGCATGTATGTATGTATGTATGTATGTATGTATTTATTTATAGTATGAGCAGGGGGAGGGCAGAGGGAGAGGGAGAGGGAGAGAGAATCTCAAGCTGGCTCTGCACGGAGCAGGGAACCCTACTTGGGGGTCGTCGGCCTCAGGACCCTGAGATCATGACCTGAGCCAAAATCAAGAGCGGTCAGTCAACCGACTGAGCCACCCAGGCGCCCTGAGCATGTACTGCTTTTTAAAGTAGCCTTAATTTTAGAACGGTTTTGGATTCACAGAACTATTGTGAACACAGTACAGAGTTCCTGTACGATCCTCACCTGGTTTCCCCTGGGGTTAGCATCTTACATTAATACGGCACATTTGTCACATTGATGAGTCTACATCAATACCCTAACTCAAGCCCGTGCTTTATTCAGATCTTCTCAGCTTTTCCTCCCATCTTTTCTCTGTCTCAAGATCCCACCCAGGATACCATCCAGGATACCATGTCACATTTAATCCTCATGCTTCCTTACATTCCTCTTGGCTGGGACAGTTTCTCAGATTTTCCCTGTTTTGGGTGACCTTGACAGTTTTGAGGAGTACTGGTCATACATTTGGTCAAATATTCATCGAATGGGACTTGTCTGATGGTTTTCTCTTGGTTGGACTTGGGTAAAGTATTATTGGGAGTGAGACGGCAGAGTTGAAGGGCCATTCTCAGCACATCCTATCAAAGGTGTGGACCCCCGACATGTCTTATCACTGTTGCTGGTGACCTTGATAACCTGGTGAAGATCGTGTTTGTCAGGTTTCTCCCCACTGCCCCCCTCCCCACCCTCCATACTGTCCTTTCTGGAAGAAGGTCACTTAAGGAGTGGAGAGTTATTTCTTGAGGGCAGACAAGCTACCTAATATTTGAGATATTTGGAATTTCTCATGGGAGATTGGTCTGTTCTCCTTATTTGTTCTAAAACTCAATGATTTATTTATTTACATCAGTAGAAACACATGGATATTTATTTTACGCTTTGGGTTATAATCCAGTGCTACTTTATTTGTTTGGTTGCTCTAGTATACTACTTTTTAGATTGGCAAAACAAAAAAAGTAAAGCAACCTCTCTTATTTAAAGGAGTCTGTCCTTAATGCAGATAAATTCTCCAGCCTGCCTTCATTTTTCTGTGCTGAGCCCTGGGCCAGGGTCCAGGCCTGACACGTCCATGGCCTATGCCTCCGGGGGCTCCAGGCCCGAGGGGAGCCATGATAGTGGCTTTGCTGGATGATGCCGACACACAGATGAGGGACCTCAGCCCAGTCCT